CTATATTTTCCGCATTTTACAACATTTCGCAACGAAACTTTGGAATATTACTAATTTTGTGATGCTCTTTCAAGCTGTGATGAAATTTTTGTTGAGATCAAAATTTAGTCTATTACGCAAAAGGTCAATTGCAAATTCCATGCTATGGATTTCACTATTTATTCCAGTGCAACGCCACAGTGGATTACTGGTGGTGACACCAATACAATATGTTGAAGAGTTTTGTTTTGTATTGGAAATTGCGAGTGTAGATTTTGTATATTTTAGACTCAACAGGGAGCAGCTGGAAAAATGGAACTCAGGCCATCTGGCAGTAATCGAACCTGTGGTCCTGCGATTCCAGTGACGACCAATGCGGTCGCCGCCATTGACTTCAATTATTCACAGCCGATGAACTATCCAGTTCTAGTACTCACCCCATGACGAGATCTCCGGCCTTCAACAGATGACCCAAGTGTGTACGACAATGATACTGAGTGTCATTCAGACCAATTTCCGATGTTCTCGTAACCCATACGTCTGACAAACAATGCTACAAAATGTATGATAAACAGTTTAACAATTAAAGAACGTTACGGCCCAATTTAAAAAGAAAATTCAGCTGACCATAATATTTTTCTAGTACTTTCTTATATTTTTGCAAATAGTTTCGATATAGTGGATTAGCATATATTAGAGGTCCAGAGGATAGTTCTTTTCGCGCAATTTCATTGATTGGTTGCTTAGCTCCGGGTATCGTTGCACTATTCATCTCCGCACCAAAATAAAATGTTTTCCCGTTTCGTCCCTGTTACAGACGAGCGGATCATTTTATACACGATGCTGCGATTGCGCCAAACACGAAGAAAGCCACAGAGTTTTTGTTTAACAGTGTGTACAGTTGAGGTATTCTATTTCTAAGGAATACCATTACAAAGGTTGTAAAACTAATAGTCTGTATAATGTAATCATATTTTCAACGTGGTGCTGGAAAAGCTAAATGCTTGTGAAGTGGTTTTTACAGGGTGAAAAATTCTCGTGATTTTTCTTTGCGGTTTTGAGTACTTCTATATTTACAGTTGACAATGTAAACCTAAATACAAAATTTACCATAATAGAAATAAGGTTCATAATTAAGTACAGGTTTCTGAAAAGCATATTCACGCTAGGAGGTAAAAAAAGAAGCAGAATTGCATATCCAAACAATCGACTCCAACGTTTCTTAGTGCCATCAGTGCAATCATGTTTCATGCCAAGACATGTCAGACACATGATATACCAACTAAATCACAGTAATGAATACCTTGGACTTGGAAAGGTCATGTGGTACCAACAAAAAGTAAGTACGCAGATAGCAAAAGCTCCGCGTACCAACGTGGTACGTGGCTGAAAACAAAGAAGTACCAGACCGTAATATTGGCGTACCTCCGGTACGTAAGTACGCATCATGGCCATGAAAATGCCCTTATCGTAGAAATAGCCTTACCTGAGATGAAGCAGAAGCTTCTTTCGAGCGTTCCACTGGTTCTGACTGTAAAACCATGAACTCTGTCAACTGTTTATAGCTCAATAAACTTTGGAATGGTGTCCGCCAGTAAACATTCGTTGAAATTTCAGCAGCTGAAAACAGGATAAAGCAATTGAGAATTTTGCATTTGGGGTAATACATGTATAAGTTGGCTGGTGCGCA